AGCAGTCCATTTGGTACAGAATACTGTCTCCAAAAGTTTTTGGAACAGCTGCATCTACCATGTTTAGATACTCTGGAAGAGCAAATAAGCTATTTGACCACAATAAAGCTCATTTCTACCTTCATTAGTTAAGGGCTGAATTACACCCTGCAGCACAAGTTTCTGTATATCTTCCAAAGCTGGTTATATTTCTAATGTACCGCATGCCCACATAGAAAAGAAAACAAGTTATTAATTTAAAACATCACACACGTATAAAACGTCCCTTTTTCTCTCTTTTCCACCACTCAAGTTGCTCTAGATTTGTTGTCCTTCCTACCTGTAAATTAACACATGCCAGCCAACGTGGCATAGCCAGGCAGCTCATTAAGTTGCAATGCAGAAGGATGAAAAGATTAACTCTTAGATACAATGCCTTAGTTACACTAAAGGTAAAAGATAAACACATCAAGACAGACATCTATTTCCTCCTCCCTCTTCCTCACTCCTAGCCTCTTACTTTAAGTCTGAGTTGCAGCTACTATGAGAGTTGGTGAAAATATTTAAAACAAGAGTTCCAACAACATGTCAATGGCTCTCATTTCTACTTGCTCCTCATTAGTACTACTGTCAAATAACAGCCAGTGTTTGACCAAATTCAGCTCATGGAATATGCTGGCTGGTGCCAAACCAGTGCAGTTGGATGGAAACACTTTAAAGAGGTGGACCATCATCACAGATTTATTTTTACATATCGTGCCTGCTGAACTGTCACATAATTGAACACACAAGCAATGTTTTCTGCTACCTCCAGGTGGTTAGGAGGCTCCAGGCCCAGTCTGACAGAAAATGATTTGGCTTTAGTAATACACCCAATCATCACATTACGCAGGCATGAAGTAATCAGCCTAAAGAAAGCTAACTAGTATAGGATGTGGCAGCACAGATTCTCAAAAGAGGCACACCAGCTCTTCAAACCAGTCAAATATATTCCCCGTCACCGAGGTTTTTACTGACCTCCACCCAAGAAATAATTTTCTTAATATATAAAAATTTCCTCATATATCACCACTTTTTTTTTTAAATAAACAAATAACACATAAAACCTCAAACAAAGAAACAACAATAAAAAAATTCATTCCCTCCCGTTCCCACATTGACCTAATCATCCATATGAAATATATACAGGAAAAGGAACAGAAAATGCATGATGAGGAATGTACATTGTTCCACCTCCTCTGGTCACTTTTGTAGTGATGATAGCTTCAGATTATTTTCTTGGAGAAGAAAAGGACACTGAGAGAGATCCCCATAAGTATATCATATAATGAATTCAAATACAATAGCAGGGAGGAAAATATATTTAAATGATCAGAAAAATAACACAATTTTCATAAGGAACCAAGTCTGGTAACACACAACTTCAAAGCATTGATGGGGTCAATGCTGGTTTTACTTGACTGCAGCTTTAGCAAAAGCAGAAGCCTTTCTTTCTTACACAACTATCATTTTTGCTTCCTCCTTCCCTGAGCCCTAGCATTAAGAAACATTCTTGCTCCACAGCAAGTTGCATCACTTACCTGGAAAAAATCTTTGTCTGGCTTAGTCAGTCCTGCTAGCAAAGCCAGTTAGCAGGGCAGCAAGGAGGGTAAAAGCCAGAGGGCAGGACTTCTACTCAGATTACCATCTTCAGCTGCTTTTTTTATGCCCACCTGAGCTAATCTAATGACAAAGTGGGAAAGGCTTGCTCCTTGTTTCCTCTGTTCCTCTCCCCTCTCTAACTGGCTCCCTAGTTTTCTCTCATTTCTTCTTTATTTCCCATTTAGTTTCCCCGCAGAAGGTGTTCTTCCAGTGCAGTAATTCAGATAATTGTCAAGTCCCTTTATGAGCCTAACCAAGTAATTTTCAGTTTCAAATACCTATTTTTGGCAATTAGAATACGCTTCAAATAGTATTGCAAGGATATGTTCTTTAGAAATCTTAACTGATCCTGAGGTAGTCTGAGAAATAGGAACATATGAAACATAGTAGCAGAAAATCCCCCACACATATGGAAAACAGTAACATACTTTATCCCTCATTATTGAATACGCTGTTGGTAAAATCAGTCTTGTACTTATCTGCTGCAATGTGCACCGTTAACTTAAGAATTCTGAGAAAGAATTGTTTGTTAGATTCTTAAAACACTTCGTTATCATTAAGTAATCATGCCCTTGAAGGCTTAATTTATAGAAAAAGTCAACACAAACCCTCTTACATGATGTTGTGCTTTCATTCTTTAACAATGGATTACTAAAGAATTGTTAATTTGGTAACATACAAGGATGAAGATGTAAAGAAAACATCTTCGAGCATATTTCTGGTTATGACTACTAGAAATATTAGATTAAAAAGACCAAAGTCAGCTAAATATAGATGTATGTTAAAGACAAGATATTTACATGAGGAAAACAAAATGATTAATTAAATGTTTCAATTTACACTTAAAATTTGTAAGAGAATGTGAAAGTGAAACAGAGCAAAGGAAGTTTAAAATCAAGCAGATTGCCTAATTTATTATATTATGAAGGATAAACAACTTGGAATGATGAACAGAAACATTTTTTAGGATAAATTTTAGATCTAATTTCTGGGGAAACCATCTGTTTACATATTTCTTATGCTTTCTGGTACTGCTGTTTCAAAATGATCATGTCAATATTGAGGTAAGACACTACTGTTTGAAGACTTTTTAACATGAACTGAAAAATCTCCTGACAAATTCTATTAGACCCATAAGAACATGCCTACCATGCATATAGTACATTGGTAGCAAAAGTGGATCATTTATTTTAAAAGTAGGTCATTCATTTTAAAATGAGGGACATTTTGAAGTTCATTACAAATATTCTGACTGCAAAAAGGAGAACATTTTTTATTGTGAAGATGGTGAAGTACTGGAAAAAAATGTCCAATGAGGTGGTAGGTGCCTCATCCTTGGAAATTTTCAAGATCAGGTTGACTGGGGCTCAGAGCAACCTGATGTAGTTGAAGATGTCTCTGTTAATTGAAGGGGATTGGACTAGAGGATCTTTATACTTCATATCCAAACTATTCTATTATTCTATGACCACAAAAGCTGTTAATATAATGAAATTGTTGATTTGTGAGAAAATGTCAAGGGTGGAAATACTGGCATCACTCAGAAACAATACCTATTCTGGTTTGCCCAAGAGCAAATTATTTGAAAGACACTTATTTTTTTCAGTATTTTCAAAGAAAAATTGTGTAGAAGTAGTCCTGTTTCTTGTAAAAAATGGGCTACATAGTCAGTGTCAAACAAAGGACTAAAAAAAGAATTGTAATATGAAGGATGAAGGAACAAACACAAGGAAGAAAGTATAGGAAAGTACAGTAGAGAAGAACTCAAGATGACAATAAATTATTTCTTTCAATGACAGAAACATATAAAGAACAGGGCAAGAACCACTTCATTTTATTTTCTTCTTCGTGAAGGAAAAGGAAGCTATAGAATTCCCTATAAACAATAGGAATATTAATCTAATCTTTTTCTTCTACTCATTTCTTAGTAAGAGACATTTTTATATATGAATAAAAATATATAAAATAAATATATATAAATAAAAATACCAGCAGGGCAGGTATTGAGGGTGTATATAATGACATAATTCTCGCAGAGTTCAGTTAGAATAGCCAAATAATTCAAGTCTGAAAGCTATGTCTCAAGGGCAAGGTAAATTGTTCCAAAATTTCAGAATTTGTCACTTCAATCCCTTCTACTGTATTAGGCTACTAAGGAAATTTTGCAAGCAATTTTCAAATAATATTTAAGTAAACCTCTTAAAATACCTACTAAATTCTTGCAGACTCTTATCAAAGGAATTCAAGAACCATTTGATTTACACACCACAGCTTTGACAATGTAACAAGGGGGGAGGGGAAAAACTAAACAATTCTTAATTAGTGGCATTTATCTTGCTTTAAATATTGTCTAATAGCTATTGTTTTCCAACCCTTTCTTTCCAAGGAAGAAAAAAAAAAAAAACTAAGCAAAAAAAAATAAATCAGGAAACCTCCCAGACCCACAGCAGCAGTAGATTTTTTTTTTTTTTATTTTTCTAATTTCATTTCTTTTAGAAAAGCAGGAGAAGCGAGACCACTTCCAACTGGGAAAGACGCTATAAATTTTGCATATGTTTGAAGACAAAGGAACCATTCTGAACCTGAGTCTCAGTTCCAACTATATAATTTGATTTTTTTCTGATTTTAAGCCAAAAGAGTAACTTTCTGATGAGGTTCTACTAATCCAGCCACTCATTTATAACCTTGTTGGTTACGAATAACCATTATTTCCTGGTAACCAATAGTAAGTAGCTTGGTAATGTTGTTCAGATAGGAATACTAACAGTGATTATTGTTATTTCATTGTGATAATATTAAAAGAGATTTGAAATACCAACTGTACTGGAAATGAAAATAATAAAAAGCAAAAGGCATGAAGAGGATAAAAGTGACTGCTAAGACACAAAGTAACCACACGTATCAGACCATAGGTCTATTTTGTCCTGTATCCACTCCTTGCCAATGGCTAAAAGTCTGTTTCTGAGGCACAGGATTAATGCAGAGCAAAACACGTTATATTTAAGTCTTCTAGCCTCCAAGAATTTTCATATTTCTCCTATAAAAGGAGAATAAAACAATTGAAATTCAGCAGTACAATACTATTATTCACTTCAAAGCATGTGATCACAAGTAAATTATTTTTGCAAGAAGTGGTAAATGCAGTCCTTCATGACCTTTTTTCCAAGGATAACTGGCATCTCAGCAGTGAACTGGAATAATTTTCTTGCAAAATAATAACAAAAAGTGAAAAATAATGAGGTAAGAAAAAAATAATACTCTATTCAAATAGCATAATGAATAATAAGAAAGCAAAATGTAAACATTTAGTGTTTCTTTTCTGAAAAAAGATAAAAAAATCTAGAATAATCAGCATATATATTTTAAAATAAATGTCTTACCTCATATGCATAGCCCAAGAAGGAAAAATGACTCCTAAAGTTGCCAAGTTCGTAAGCACCTATGAAGACTAAACAGCGGATGATTTCCAAAATTCCTGCTTTGGACCTAGAAAAGGGAATCAATTCAGATTAACATCCAATCTTTTCCTCTTTGCTAAGTTCAGTGACAAAGAGAAAATAAAATTAGTTTGTGATGTCCTCCACTTACATCTAGTCATCTTTCTTAAACTTAAAGTTAAGTTTTTGGTATTTATCTTACACTGACTTACAACCATGAATTTGCTGTCGTGAGAATACCGGTACTTGCAAAATATATTTGAACAAAAATGGAGCTGTATATTTACTTACTGTCCTTTGATCTCAAAAATTACCACAACAAAATTCTGAGAACTGCTACATAAGTAGTTCAGAATATTTTCAGTGGTCTACTTCCATAAATTTTTACTAATGCCTCTTTATTAACTCCCTAGGTTATTCACATGTCTGGCATGTTGACAGATTTTTACCTGTCCTGAATTAAACTGTTCAGTCCTTAAAAGTGAAAGGTATTCCTTTCTGAAAACATAGTGAACAGCAGGTGCAAAGCAGAACTGGCACGTCAGTCTCAAAGGAAACTTCTACTCCACATTTCTTCTCTGTCAGGGCAAATAACTTCTTTGCAAGCAAGTGTGGATGCCACTTACTCTTCTTTAGCACCACAGTGCCCATATGGACTACTTCATAATGTATCTCACTGACCTGGTGTATTCAAGATCCAAATTCATTTGAAGGTATACTGATTACATTTAGTCTCAAGTCTACACCATCTTTCACATGATTTTGAGCCCACTCTAAGCTACACTGTGTGCCCTTCATATACCATCACGGTATCTGGCACTTATGGCCTGCTGCACAGGGTTCACACAATCCAACCTTGAACTGCCTCACACAGCTGGCAAGTCCCATTCACCCGCCACTGTCCCAAACCCAGAGGAATGGCCCCAGTATATGCAAGCACAGAGGAACACATGAAGAGCCCATCCCAAAACCTTTCTACAAGGTTTTCTACACAGATGTAGTCCCTTGCTATGGGAACAATCCTGGATTTAGGTGCTGGCTAGTCATGTCTTATTTTCTAGTAACAGCCAGCCATGTGTCTGGGTGATTATATCTCTTTATTGATATAATTTCTGAGATTTACATAGAGTTATAAATAACCCATAATGAAAGAATAAAGAACTCCACATATTTTGTATCTTACTTGTTCTCCATAAGTAGTCCAAAAGATGCCAGGGACAGAATGATAAAGCCAATTCTCACGAGAACTGCTCCCTGTGACAACATCTGTTAAAAGGCAGACAAAAAATTCATTTAGAGTAACCTGGAGAGAAATGGAGTTTTTACAGAACAGTAGCTTGAACTTACTCACTGAGTGAAGCAAGTGTCCTCTTTTAAAGTAATTTGCTACTTTGAATTTTAGGAAAAAAATCTCCTATGGATAGCCCTCATATCTGGAGTAACCCCATTCACAGTTGGTTCCTGAATACTGTATTAATGTTTAATGTTATCTCCTTCTGTCCTATGTGTTTTTTCCCAAAGTCATTTGTTTTCCTTTTGACTCTACTCAGGAGGGAACAAACTTACTTCTAGATAAAAATCCCAGCAGCTCTCTGTTCTTTAAACATCATATTATGTTACCAGGTCTTTACAATAGCCATCCTTGAATTCCACTGGATAAAAATGCCAATGTACTGATGAGAATAACAGCTCACATGACATGATCATGTTTAAGATGAAACAAAATTAATGTTTTCCCTTCATGACAGCTTGACACTTGGTTCCCAACTTTTTAGCTCATCTCATTAACTTTAATCAGACTTAAAACACTTTTAAACATTAACATGTGCATGAGTATTTGGATGAATCGCAGCATGAGGACTTCTGTGCTTAAAATTTACATCAGAATGACATAAACAAAATTCATAAAAACAGAAATTGTTTTGACTGTAAAGTTGGAATTTTTAAAATTTATTAAATATTTATTTTGTATTCTATACAGATGCCTTTGAATATCAAATATTTAATCAGTTTCATTTTTTCCCTCCCTGATTTTGTTTCAAATATGAGTTTTGAAAAGCTTTTGGTTTTATTTTAATAAAACAAAACACAACAAAAGTATTGGATCTGACTGAGTTATAGGAATCCTTTCTTGCTTCAGCAGCAAAAGAGTTTACGAACAGCATCTTGAGCTTCATTTGCAGGCATTGGAAAAATAAAACTCCACAAATGTCTGCCCTGATTTCCATAAATCCCATTCGGTGACATGCCCAACTTCCTTCAGTCATGGCCCCAACCCCTCAAAGAGATCTAAGGTAAGTATCTGTGAGCATGGGAGGCCACAGGAGGATACTCTCAAGTTTTACAGCTGTGTGAACTTAGAGTGCCCATGTGTGCAAAACACATCAAACCACACACTCAGTCTGGGCGGGTTTCTGTTGTTTTACTGAAGCATCACAAACACCTACTTAGATATCCTCAACAGTTATTGAACAAAGAAAACTCAATCCCAGCAATGTGCAAGCTAAACAGCAGCCTCATCAGTTTACAAGCCAGAACACAGTTCTCACAAATGACACCTGTCAAGCCACTCTGCTGCACAAATTTGTACCAGGTGAGAATCAAACTTATTACTGCATTTCCACATTACCAATCTGCTCCATTCCTCCCTATGATAAACTTTTCATCATTAGCAAAAGGAGAAATTTGTTTTGAAGTGACAAAATGTTTGGAAAGAGCTTTTTTGTAAAAATCAGGCACGGATTCTATTGGAATTTAATTAAATGAGGAGTACTTTAACTACTCATCTAGCCGCACTGAGTTCTACTTCAGCTTCCTGTACAATCTGGTTCATACAAAAACTCAAGAAGTGAGCGAAGAAAAATATGATTTGGCACAGGCATAAGGGAACTCACCCATAAATTTCTTAGAAATGCTTTGACAGGCTTTTCAATGATTGTTACTTGTCTAATAAAGGGGTTTTCCAGGGAACAAAGACTGAAATTCAAGATTTTTCTCCTTAAAGACAGTCCTCACTTTTAAGCTGAAAAATTACACCTTTTTTAAAATCTACTTATTCTTGCCAGGTGGGTCTGATTTTTCTTTGTTTCCTCTGTGATGTACCGGGTCCTGCAGACTGCCTGAAAAATGCTCCCATAGTGGCAGAGCACTAGAGAAGCAAGGTTTTGTATCTTAGGCAGGAAAGAGAACTAAACATCAAATCCAGATTTCCATCAAGTCATGGAGCAGCTACATTACAATATATGGCTAAAATCACACTTTGTGGAAAATGAACAAAACTGCAATGGTTTTCATACAAGTACTAATACCTGTCTTCAGGAAGGATTCAACAGTACATGCTATGAATGAGCAAGGGTGTCCCTAGTTTCCACTTTTAAAGAGCTGCATGATTTCAAACTTTTCTGTCTTTCCAGTGATCCCAAACTTCTAGTTTGTCCCAGGCATCTGGGTTTCCTTGTGACTCCAGCTGCAGAAAACTGATAGCAGCAGATAAGATAATGCTGATTCATTCTACCTGCCTTTAAGTTCACTGAAGTGCCCAAAAACCCATTATTAACCTAAACTTTTGCTGAAACTTGTGGAGAGAGCACACTGGGAATGTGGGAATAAGCTAAGCACTTCAGGAATTCCATTTCTTGCCATTACCTAGACTGCAAGCCTAAAAACTACATTTGGTACTACTGCATTAAGAGTTGGATTTTAGTGGATGATGGGAACACTTCCCAAAAGCAGACAATTTAGGGTCATATTTTAGTGGTAGTTTTACCCATAACTTCTAATCAAGGACTTTTTTCTTAGCTTAAAGATATATTTTAATTTACATTACTAGAACAGGAAAAAGAATTAAAATTATCCCCCACATATATCTAACACAGAAGAATAAAGCACAGACTAAGAACTTGACAGGAAATTAATAAATTTCAGATCAGTTTTAAACACGGAGTTCCAGAAAAAAAATGGAAATATAAATACATTTTAATGTCTGTTCGTAAATCAGAAGAAGCAACCTTATAACATTTTAAAAAATCAAACTCAAATGTAAACAAGCCTTTATCTTTAAATGGTAAAAATGCTATAGGAGGTTCTATGGCATAATAACTACCTGAGCCAGGTGTGATCATATTTTACAGACTTGTTTTTTCAGGCTAATTTCCATTTCTCTTCAGACACACTCCTACTTGAACTATACTATTTTGAACACTGCCTATTTGTAAAACTCCTTATGGTGAGTATGCACTCTGGCCCAGAATGTGAGGGACTGGAGGACTCTATAGCACAACTGGCAGATCCTGGTTAATTTCAAACTGGCTATCATCAAATTCACACAAAACCATGACACTGTAATGCCTGAGCACAGTGTGGCACAGTCAAGGATTACCAAGAAATTTTCAGTGAAATACACCATGATGCTATTGGGAATAACATCTTTTAGAAAAGCAGCCATATAGTGTAATTTTTACCACTGTTAGTTTGCTTCACTAACTTTCTCTTACAGTTACAGTGGTATAGTAACATGCTGCTTTGATTCTTTTCTTTGCTTTCAAACATGTATCACCCTATGAAGTGGATGCTGGCAGCTGAGGCATCCACTTTCTAGGCATTACTCTACCAAAATCAACAAAATAGTCAGTGGGTTATATCACTAAACTAACATCATATATTAAATCTATGCACTGCAAGCAGCAGTGCAAAAAGAATGTGCCTTTTACACCTTCATTCGTGTTAGCATCCTTGTTCCACCTAAACATAGTATGCATGGATATATATAAAAAATAAATGAGTATTTATATACTGGAGTATTTGTATAAACAGAGAAGCATGTGGGACCACAGCAGGTTCCCCAATTACAAGTCAGCCACAACTTTGCAATGTGGTTATTGGCTGCAATCAAGCAGAAAAAAATATTTCTGTTGGATTTTCATTTCATTTAAAGCTTTAAAAATATCTTTGAGCCTTAGAAAAGTGGGGGGGGGGGGGGAAGGGGATTATAGAATTTAGTAAGAAGTTTACATGGCTTTGTAATCAACAGAATGCCATAGCATTATTATTTTATAGTTTTTTAGTAATGAAAAAACTAATTCATTTAAACAAAGGAAATGTTATTTCAAATATGTATTTAGATAAGCATTGAAATATTCAAAATTGATTTTTGTATACTGCAAAGAAGTAGGTTTTTTATTCCTTTGGAAGAATAACATGGATGCATTTTATCATTCTGATTTGTCCAGTGGTTCAAAAGAACTTCTAGGAATGATGTCAGCACATTTCATAAGTTAACAGTTGCCCTGATCTCATACATCAGATGATCAGATACATTCAAATTAGGAATGCTAATATGATCCTATGATTTTTCTATTGTTAGGTGTCATTAGCTGTATGAATTTATTTTAACTTAGAATTCTTAGGGAAAAAAAAGTTAATTCTTAGCAATATTACATACACTGTACTTGGTGATGTCCTACTGAATAGATACATTAGTTGTGTTCTTAACATTCAAGAGATCTAGCTTATTAATTTCCATCTAATTGAAACTGCTCACATATTCATATAATTATAAGCACAGTAAATGTTATAGTATCTATTAACAATAAAAAAAAGACACTGCAAAATGTGTTTAAGGTGCACTTCACTTTGATTTATATGATAACTGAAGTTCTGGAGCTATGAGACTTTTGCTTTGAATGTACTGCAATTTTACACTCCTAGCACTCTCTCTGGGACAGATCCAATCCCATTTCTTCAAGGAGCTTTGGATCAGATCTAGATGTGCAGAGCTCAGAAAGCAATTTTTATTTGCTGGATGTAGTGCAGATCACTATACAGAAAACAAACACTGTATGCTCTCTCCTGTGGAAAATATATATTTGTTCTTTCCTGTTTTGCTCTTTTCATAAGTTAAATGTAGGTCATTCAGACAGAAGGTATATGGTTGCTCTTTATGGATGGAGAAATTTAACACTTCTACAGGGCGTGAGACCAAACACTGAGCAACTGTAATCACTTGAGAAATGTAATAGCTGTGTGCTGTGTCTTATGGCTGTTATGAAATGGAACTTATACCTAAAGATGAGGAAAACAGTTAGTTTTCTCCATTTATGGAGCTATGCCACAGTTATGACATAATTCATAGCCAGACAGAACGTTCCAGTTGTATCCATAGACATTTCATAACTCAGTGTAGTGGAAAACTGATATTGAAGAAAGGTTTTTTGCCAAGTAAAGTTATTCATACACAAGCTTCCTTCTCATGACAGCTTCTCCACTGTACTGCAGAGCAATGCTGGAACTGTGCCTTGGGACCAGCACTTTCTACACCCACGCTGAAGGTTTATGTCCTGAGATGAGGTGCTCCCAGGCCCCTGCGCTCCCCTTATCCTTACTACCTTATTACCCTGCAGTTTTGTGCAGAGAATTTTCTAGTTGCTTTTCTACAATAAGTTCATAAATGGAGGATCCTCAGGATGTTTCCTCCATGACAGAAAGAATTTAGTGATTATCTGGGGCTTGGGTGCATTTTTCAACTTCCTTTATTACTTATTCTTAAACAGCCGCAGTTACCAGCAGATAAAATAATGTGGACCATTCATTTTTCCCTCCAGGACCAGAAAAAGGCCAAAAGAAAAAGAATAAAATAGGAAAAAATCAGACTCCTTAATTCTAAAAGCAGCAGCATAGAGTTTAAAAAAAAAAAAAAACCAAAAAACCAATCTGAGTGCAAAATGAAACAAATGGAAAAAACTCAAACACAGAGTTTGATTCCTATGCAAATGTAGGAACCTAGAAGTACTCTGGAAAATCTTGCAGAGGTTTTTCTCAATTCAGGAACATTAGCAATCAGGTACACTGTCTGACTTGTGTATTTTGGAGGTATTTACTCATACCTTTGGCTTAATTTCCTATCCTTATAATAGACTAAGCTTCAGATGATTTAGTAATCTCCTAATTCCCTGCAATTGCAGTGTGACCCTTTGCAGAAGTAAACATGGCACATAGAACAACTCCATACTAATCCAAAGAATATGCCTGAAGTAACTTTTATATTATACCAGGAATGCTACATCCTGCAGTTTCCAATGAGGTGGGCAGGGGGCAGTGACAACTGCTGGCCAAGGGCTGGAGACTGCCAGGTGAGCATGCCAGGACAAGGCTGAGGAACCCAGGGGGCCCTTTGGGTGTATACAGCGTGCCTGTGGCAATGTGGGTGACACAAACACAGCAAGAGCACTGCTCTTTAACTAAGGGGGTCTTAAAAAGGGTTTAAGAAGAAGACCAAAGGGAATTTTATCAAATTAATAGAGTTTTGTGGTGTTTCTGTACGTCTTGAGAGGTCTTTATTTGTGGGAATATTATAGCCATTAAATCCTGCTTCATAACTCTGAAATTTTAGCTTTAGCAAAGAGGGAAAAAGACAGAAAGAAAAAAGGGAGCTTGGAAGGATGTGCAACCCTGTAAGTAGTTAATGTCTCTTTTCTTTTAGGTGGACATGGCCTGGTAGTTCACCTTCACAGGCTGCCAGCTATCCATAGAGGAACCAGTCACCATGGAGATGCCACCAGGCAAGTCTGTGGTGATAAATACACACCTCTCCTGGCTGTGCTTCTATCAATGCTCTTGTATGTTGGAGATTGGAAGAAAAATTTGCCCTGACTTTGTGCTCCTCCAACTCTGAACTCATGCTGACACCAGCCTTGCAAGCACTGCAAGGCCATGGCAATCTTCCCTCTAAATCCTGGGCATCTAATGGTATGAGCAACCTCAACATCTTAAAACTGCATAGTTTCAAGTCTTATGAGGTACTAAAAACTGAAGCAGACACATACTTCTTCTAGGCAAAATATTTCCATTAAGTAAATAACTGATATGGTTATTAAAAACTGTTTACTAAACTATATAAGATGTATATTTGATAGCATGAATTATATATTCAGCCATTTAGGTGAATTCTTTTACAGAAACTAGTTATTATTTTAGTAGCTCACATAAGATATGAGTTGGCTGTAGAGCTGCTGCCCAATCCTTTAATATTTAAGCATGTTGTGTGTCATTGCTGTTAGCAGGAGATATTATTTCATAAGGGAAGGAATTACTTACAGTCACAGAAGCAAGAAGTTCGATGTACAAGTCCACTATTGCAGCAAAATGTACAAGTGCATAGCAATTAAGATAAGCTGGTACATGTGGGTTGAAGGGAACTTCCTTTCCAGTGATCTGTGTAAAGCAAAATAGTTACTTGCTTTCAACAGTGACCTGCTCTGGCCTGTTGCTCCTTAATATTCTTTATACTTAAAGCACAAAAGGGGTGACAGCTAATTGAAGAAAGACAATCTACTGTCAAACTTAGGTACTATCTAGTTTGAGACAGTTTAACTTTGTGTGTTTGTGCAGGCCTACAGCTGAAAAAAAAAGGAGAAATTACTATACTCCATAGAAAAAAATTTGAAAATCTCTTCAGGAAATGAATAATGAAAAAATAACTTAAAAAACACACTTTTTCCATCAAATAAAAAGAAAAAAAACCCCCACAGTTAAAACATTCATTTCCTTCAGTTTCTTTTCCCAATTCATCTTCCCCCATGCTTTATGACTGCTAATTTGCTAATTTAAAATAGCATGTGTAGAGTTTTTAACATTGATCCAGTAGCATTAAGAGGCCCAAGTAAATTACACACAACTGAAAGCCTGTGCATGTTCTATTTACCACTGGGATTTCCTCAGGAAGGCCAAGTCTAGGTTTGCCTGGTCCCCAGCCTGGCCCTTTGAATATGACAGAAAGCTTATTGCAGAATCCAGGTGTGGCCCAAAACGTGTTCCAAATATGAGCCAAGGGACGTAACTGAAAAAAAAAGGTAAGCAATTTTTCACTGTTCGCAAAATAAAGATTAATAAAACATTGTATTTTATTAATTTTTAGTTTTCAAATAAACGATTTTTCAAACTCTTTTAAAGAGAATAAATTAGAAATAGATGAAGACAGTTCAGAAAACCTGGCTGAAATAGGCAAAAGCAATATGAAGCCCTTGGTTAATTTGGTGAGGATTACAATGACTTCTGCTCAGAGGAAAATCTGTTTTTCCATCTGTGTCTCCTGTAATCACTCTTGAGTATTTAGTGGTATATTGTATAGCTATATTTATGCAGTATGATTTGGTTACTGGGACCTTGAAATGACATAACTCTCAGTAATGAAATTACTTAGGATCTGACTGAAATTAATATAATTGCACATCCTCCCACTTTACAGCCCTGACAGCCCTGATAGTAAAATATCTCTTTCTTTGAGATTCCTCCTTGGATGAACAATCATGAAAAGCAAATATGGACTCCACTGCTTCTCATGTTTTTGCAGAGAATTTTTACCTAGCTTAAGTGAAACCTGAACTAATAAATCTAAGAAGCACCACACTAATTAGTTTTCTTTTTTTTAATTACATGCTTTTGTCTGTGCTTCACTATTTATTATTGCACTGCAAAACACCTCATTCAGTCCAACACCTTATATATCACTGTTCTAATTATTTGCTAATTTTACTGTTATATATTTTCATTACTACTACAAGCTCTGCATATACTCAATGCATTGAGTAGAAATGGCTGTCTCATAATGGAGTACTGAAGAAATTGTAGATAATGTAATTGACTGGTCAGCAATGGAAGGATGGCCTCAACTGTGCCTAAGAGAGGAGTTTCTTTTGAATATGACTGAATGTTGAAGGTATCAGAATCAGTGATAAAAACTATAGCACCTGGAGCATGATGGGGTCAAATGAATTTACTGGATGTGTTAAGCCATATACAACTTTTGCATCTTCAGCCTCAAATGTTCCTGATGGAAGAAGAAAACAAAAGAATGACAACCAATCAAATTCAAAAGTATACATATTTTTTCCACACTGATTCAACATGACAGAGAACACCTTCTTTTACTTACCAAATATCCTGTCCCAGATAATGAGCGTGCCACCATAATTTTTGTCAATGCAGTAAGGATTTCTACCTATAATAAAAATCAATTATGAGAAAAGTAATAGGATAAATCAGAATACTAGGAACTGAATTATGAAGGAAAAAAATCATCATTTGCATCACATTATAATCTAAAAATAACTTTAAAAGACAGCTAACCCACCACTCCTTATACTTCTATATATATTTTTTTCCTTACTAGCCTTATTGCTCTCTTTCTGTTCAGATACAAACATACAAATCAAATGCATCATGTCCAAAATTTCTCTGAAATTTGGAGGCGAAACCAGGTCAAAATATATTTATAAAAGACAAACTTAGAAGCAAACAAAAATGATTCCATCAGTTTACACCTAAGAAAATATATACTAAATTCATATATGTGTAGTTATCTCATTAATATCTGTCAGGTGTCTCTATCCTCTATGTCATATGTCTGATCCTGCACTATTAATTTCAGTGTGAGGAAAACTGAAAAAATCCTTCTACATTCTCTAGGGAATATATTTATATATTAGCAGTCCTCTCAAAGTTATGAGTGAAGAAGCATTGGTTACACATCCCTAAGTTTATGGAGATAGTCTGGAGCAACTGTACAGCCCCTGATCAGCTCCATAATGATTTAGCTTGACTCCAATCAGGATGAGAGCATTAGTTCAGATTTACAGCTGAGCAAATAAGAGCAGAGTGTCTCCCTGAGGATTACCAGTAGTTGTGCAAATTTTAAGGACTAGACACTTACAGCACCACCACTGTGGATACAGTGATTGTGAGGATACAGTAAACATGAGTAACATCCTCTGAACATGCAACTGCATTTGAGTCTGTTTCAAACTGTTCTTCCATTCCCTCATTTTTTTTTAACGTACTATCTCTGCACACTGAATGAGCTAAGGACATCTGTGAAATCCAATTCTGTGTCTCAGATACATTCATGACATTTTTCAGTATGCAGTGGAGTTATTAGCACAATTTACACATGCAGTACAGTCTTGAAGGCCTCTGAATACTGATAAAAATCAACCATTATGCACTTCTGGGAAGCGAGATTTATCAACAATTCAAACAGGTGAAATCAAATTCCACTAAAATATTTAAAAGTTCTTCTAAAACCTAGCCATATTTTTCACATATACAGTGCTTGAATTTGAGTGCAAAAGAGTGTTTGTTGATGATTCAGTAGCCAGGAAAGGATGAAGTATTTTTCTATCACTCTTCATACCTAAAAACATTGAATTTTTTTTCTCAAAGTCATCTAACTCTTCATGTTATCCAGACTTAATTTCTCCTCAATAATTAATCTTAAACAAAAAATGTTTAAATTAAATATAAGTTCTGATTACATTTTTTTAAAAATTGTGAAATTTCTGACTGAACAGGGACCACTTCTGAAGTAGAGGTCAAAATTAAAATCTTTTTGTAAAACTGATTTTACAGTACAATTTTAGTAGATTACTATTACAATACAAATAGTGACACTGAGGAAAAAAGGGAATAAGAGGTTTCACTTTTATCTTACCATGATGAACTCTGTGATGACTGGGAGTATTAAGTATCCATTCCAGAGGCCCAAGTTTGGTGATAAGCTTAAAAAATATAATGTTTTAATGAACTTGAAAATACTGCGTAAGACCAAGAAGAATTAGGGAAATGAAAAGAAGAAAAAGCTAAAGAGAGAATGTTTATCTTCTGGAGAACTGCATAGAAAGACAGAAGTGCATTATTTTTTTCTGAACCATATCACTGTATTACAGTTACAAATATTTTCATTAAAAAACATTAAAATACAAGTTATAAATTAAATTTCTTTTGATCCAGAAGCAAATTTCTTTAGATCTAAAAGTGAATTGTTTTTATCTTTTTTCCATGAGAATCTTTGAGAAAACTGGCAGTCATAAACTGATAACAAGATGGAATCACAGGGAAGTGATTGTCCCAGTGTACTAAGCACTGGTGAGGCTGCACCTTGAGTACTGTGTTCAGTTTTGGGCCTCTCACTTCCAGAAAGGAATTGAGGTGCTGGAGCATGTCCAGAGAAGGGCAAGGGAGCTGCTGAAGGGTCTAGAAAACATGTCATGTGAGGAGCGACTGAGGGAACTGGGATTGTTTAGCCTGGAGAAAAGGAGGCTTGGAAGGATTTCACTGCTCTCTACCTCCCTGAAAGGAATTTCTTCTGCCATGTCCCAAATGAAAGGACAAGAGAAAATGGCTTTGAATTGTGCTAGAGGAGGTTCACACTGGATATTAGAAAAAAAATCACTGGAAGACTGTTTAGGCATTGGAATACATTGCTCAGGGAGGTGGTGGAGACAGTATCTCTGGAAAAGTTCCAGAGGCATCTGGATGCGGCACTTGGGGGATATGGCTTAGGGGTCATTCTGGTGATGCTGGCTTGATGGTTGGACTCACTGGTCTTGAAGGTCACTTACAACCTTGATGATTCTGTGATTCCATACAAATTGTTTCACTCATTTTTCTTACCCGTATCCAGTGACATGCTTGGGATTCAGTGCAACTCTATGATATGATACCAGTTTTGCAAACACTTTATGTCTGCAAATAGGTGCCATTGACCCAGAAACAAATACTCCTTCCCCCTTCAGTACATTTGACTGCTTTTTTCTTCTCAGTAACCTTCTTGTACCCTGGCACAAACACACTGACACAACAAACCTGACTGGGGAACTGATGCAAACCAAAACTGCTTTTGTTTTGTTTTTCTAAGTCAGTTTATCTAAATCAGTTACTGATTTTGGTCCAATATATGGTCACTGTCATGAGCTGGAGGCATGAAGAGACAGTAGACCAGCATAAATTCATTATGGAGGTACAATCTAAGGCAATGACTTGACAGTACAGAAAGAGAGCCTTGATCATTTTAGTACCAACCCAAAAATTATAGACAGTATCCATTGCCAAAAGCCACCTCTAGTGTTTCAAGCTTTGTCAGAAAACACTGACGAATTAAGTTTGTGTGGGCAGGCTTTCTGCTAAATTTGGTACTCTCAGCTACTAGGAATTAGAGGAAAGCCAGCACTGACTTCAAATTTGGTGCTTTGGTTAGCTCAACAGAAGTGTGTGGACAAACAAACAGACAAAGAAAAATTAATAAAATAAATAATAAAACAAAAAATGTTTCTGACTAATAATAGTGGAAGTATTTTCTTTGAACACAGCAACTATTCTTTAATACCAAGGACAAATCCATCTGTCACAAATTGATGCAATCACTGGATGATCAAAAAGGACATCTCTTCACAATATATCCTGAAATGGTATCTATTCATTATGTCTGATTATGGCCATAACGTTTTGCAATTAAAAGGGAGCAGGGGGCATTAAAGAAGCGAAATAAAAATGTTTAGACCTTAAGAAACAAATCCAAGAATCTATAATTTTTTTCCTTTTAGAGACTTTAATTAGTGAATTTAATACTCATACTGCCAAAAGGGGTGATCTGTAATATAATGATAGACATAAAATAATAGTGGCAAAAAAAAAAAAACACCAACATTTAGAGGGACAGTGATTACTCATGAGAGCAGGTACATTAATTAAAAAAGATTTTCATTCCTTTAAGGTTTACAGAACAAAGCCCTGAAATACAGCACTGCCATGTCTCCTTCATTTACAGTTCTGCAAGCGCAAGTAGATTTAGATTCAAGAAGCAGACTTAGGATATTCCTCAAATGCATTTAAATTGTTATCAATCAGGTAAAGATAATAAAAGGAAAAAGTAACTTTTTTTCATTTTTTCTCCTCAATAACTGCAAAAATAACATCTACTTAGTTGGTTAAGTAGAGAATTTCTGTAATTAAAGGAGTATAGAAATATGAAAATTCTTCACATACATAGAACTGCAATATTTGGACCATCTTTCTTAAAATCCTGCTCACACTTGACTGGAAAAATAGAATCCTGAGACAAGTTTGTTTTGTTTCATTTAACTCAGAAGCCAAGGACAACATAAGCAGGATCAGCTCTCCCTCAAAATAAGTTCAAGTCTAAAAAGACCACCTAAAGGCAAGAAACAATCCATCATTCGTGCTAGTTCCATTTTCTGCCTTTCTCAAGCAGAACATCCCACTGTTTTAAGATATGTGAGATGTGACCATTAAACTAATTTAATCTGAGATAAATGTTTTGAATTGAACTGCAGCCCAGCACCTGAGAGAGCACTGATTTATCTAATCAACCACAACTAACTTTGATCCAGTTGGTTTAATACAATTTTATTTAACAGTTTTTTGTAAAAATAAACCAAGTGTGCACTAGGAGAGCAGGGAATCAGTAAGGATTAGCAGTCTCCACATTTATCCTACAGGTGGATTATAACAAAATGTCCTCAGAATGAATGCCTTCAGGTCTCAATATCCAGCCAGTTGAATTAAAATTTTAAAACTAAAATTCATCCTTTTGAAATTCTACATAGTACATCCTTATGCTAAAGCAGAACTTTTTGCCTTGGGACTCCCTAAGGACCTCAGGGTATAACTTTATATAAATTTATATGCAGAATTTTAAATAAATTTTTCTGACTAATAATAGTGGAAGTATTTTCTTTGGATAATGAAACTGCTCTCACCCCTTAAAACAGTCTTTCTTTGAGTGATGAAATTTAAAAATCTACTGAAATATCTTCCCTATGTCTTAATTAGTGATTGATACCCAAGCCTATTTTGATTAATTATTCACTCAAGGTCACCTCCATTGCAAAGACATTTTAGTCCCACCCTGAGGAAAATATCATCTGAGACAACAATCATAACCACATGACTTTAAAGCTCAGTGCAAAACTCTCTACCTGATGAAGCAAAAATCTAGTACGTTGACATTAGCAATCCATAAATCAATGCTTTGTCTAAAACACATCAAAAATATTTTTTCACCATATAGTCAAAATAGTGCAGGGTGCTATTTCTAGAAACTTCCTTTGCCATCAGTAAGTTTACTTGTAGATATTTAACTCATTCCTAAAAAACCATAAAAAACTGTGTCAAAGGAAAAACTTTGGTGCCAAAAAAATTTATAAATGCATAAATGCTATAAATATAACCATATATCTTTCCAACATACAGAAATATATCACCACTGAAAAACTCAATTTTGAAAGCTCTTGCAGCACTTGCATGTCAAACAACATGGCTCTTTTGTTTAAATTTGTTGAATTTTTCTTTATTCTGCCATCTTACCTGGGGCAAAACTCCTAGAAGCAGATTTTTCACCTAAGTAAATTGGATAGGATAACAAGACAATTTTTACCAGACATGATTCTGACATGGTCATATCAAGCTGACAGGAACTTACTGCAGTCATATTGAAAGAAATTAATTTTCTAAGAACTGACTCATAGCAACATGTAATGTGGTGTAGCAACAGTCCTAGTTCAAAAGAATAATCCAGAGAGAAGAAAGGCAGTGGCAGGTATCCTGCTTACCCATCTACCTTTCATCTGTCAGTCTGTCCTCATTTCTGTGTCTTTATTATGTCCAGACATTTTCCTTGGAGAATGGCAAGTTTAAAGGAGCTCATAAGCATTCTTTGTAGCAACAACCTGGCTTACACTGCAAGTACAACCAGTCACCAAAGCACACAGATCACTAAGTTTCAGCCATTCAGAGAGAAAAACATTTTCAGCTTGCAATATCACTGTATTCAAATTGGTTTGTTAGAATAAGAGCTTTCATGATCACATATCAGAAAAAAAATTAAACTTTTTAAAGAACATCCAAAAAATGTGATAAGAAGATCAGCTTAGTTTTTATGCTTGTAATTGGGATTTTCATTTTAAAAAATCTGCTACTCTAATTTTTGTATCTGACCTTTTTATTGGAAAGTTTTCTAAAAAGTAAAAAAATAATAGCTGAAATGTCATTGTTCCATAACCCTGCCATCAGTACTTTAAAACTTATTTCATACTACTGAAAAGAAAAAAAGGTCTGCTTGTGAATATAAAATATTCTTAATCTATGCATCATCAACTAAAGTGATTTGGGGAATACAGCAAAATAGCTACCAGTACCCTAAAAGCTGAAATACTCCAACTGCTGTCCAATGATAACCTTATCTGTATTTTGACCATTATGACACTGGGGTTTACATTTGTGTTTGTTTCCCTGATACAGACACCTACTGTTCTAAATCAACTCCTGTCTGCAATTTTTCCTTTCTCAATTAACACATTATGTGCACCTAAACTCCCATGCCAGTGACCCCTAGATGAACTGCAACATTCCAACAAAACTCTTTTCCGGTTTCCTTCATTTTTTAACATCCCATTGCCACAAAAATAATTTTTCACTTGTCAAAATCCTTAGAAATGGACTCAATACACTACCTGCAAATCAAATATGTAGGCATGTCATATATATATGTTATAAAAGCTGTTCCCACAAAACATGTATTCTTCTTTCTTTCTTTTCTTTAAAAACCAACATATTTCCTCTGCTATACTTGGGTATCATTAAACAGTAAAGCAGAATTACTGACAATAATTGAAGCAACTCCAAAAGCATTGTAAATAAAGCATACTTAGAAATACTTTTCATACATTACTGAATAAAATATCCTGGAATTGAAATCTTC